CAAGCCGGTGTGATTGTCAGAAATGTCCATGTGATATTAATGGTAATGTTCACAGTAGCGGCTGACAAGTCGCGAATTGTCACATGACTTTCTGCATTTCCGGATTATTACCAATATAATGGCAGTGCCTGGGTCAAAGGTGGAGAAGTAAAAAAAACAGCAATACATCACTGAGCTTTTCAGCGCAAGTGTAAACGGTAGCGCTGAAAAAACGCGATGTTTGTCACGCAATTTTCGGCACTTCCGGATTGTTACCAATTTAATGGGTCTGGGTCAAAGGTCGAGAAGACCACACATGCGCATTACCGACCAAAGCACACCAAATCATCGCTGCGCTTTTCAGTTGGTGAGTTTCAGCGCAAGTATAAACGGTAGCGGGAAAGAAAAAAATCGTGATTTCTTTAAATGAGGTTTTTGACAGTATAAATGCGCCTACCTACATGTATTATAGCTGAATTCACGTCATTTCACTTTAAAAATTATACTTTTACTGTGCATACATGTGCAAACCATTATGAATACATGTTACAGTATGTTTTGGTAATACATTTTTGGTCTTTCAAGTTCAAAAGTTCACCCATACTACCAGTGTGAGTGAAAATGTAGACAACTACACAGTGTACAGCATGTAGCAAAGACAATATTTCAAATGACCACTGCTACAAGTACAACAAAGGCCAGTTACAATTCAGCAGGGAGGCCTTTTAGATCTTCCATTTGCTTTGTTACTCATCATCATTTTGTTGTCTTTTCCTAGCTCTTTGTCTTGGAGCCCCCTGTAGATAGGGAAGCAGGGCAGCATCAACTGTACTAGGAAATGGGTCAGGGGTTCTTTTGTTATCAATGCAGGCCTATTATTCTCTAATACCCTTTTCACATCTACCAAATATTGCTTAACCCCGGGAAATAGGTGGGGCTAAGGGGGCTCTTAGCCCCACCAATTCCTTCCTTAGCCCCACCAATTACCCGGGGTAATTTTAGCCGGCTTTCTGTTCACATTACGTTTTGCCAAAGTGGGCTAACCCCACAAATAGTACGGGACTATCTGGCCCTGCAAAATAGCAGGGTTAGCCGGGCAATTGCGGGGTTAGCCGGGCAATTGTGGTGCTAAGCTGCGTAGTGTGAATCCGAACCGGGCTAAGGAGAAGCGGGGCTAAGCAACAGCCAATCACAGACAGCGTGGTCGTGTGGTCGTGAATTTGCATTTATCGCGCGCTATGCATGCAGTTCACGTTACGCATGCATGCAGTTCACGTTACGCATGCGCGGTAGCAAAAGCATTAATATTCATGAGCTATCGAATAGTCCGGGGCTAAGGCGAACGTAGTGTGAATCGCGTGAAATTTCTTAACCCCGGCTAAGCACATAGTCCGGGGTTAAGAACATAGATGTGAACAGCAAAAAAAATAGTATGGGGTTAAGGATAGTATGGGGTTAAGGATAGTCCGGGGTTAAGAAAAATAGATGTGAAAAGGGTATAAGTCAATGAGCTCCCCCAGTCCCTCGAAAACAGAAGCATCTGGTAAAGAGATAAATTATGCATGGCAAATTGCAAAGTATGCATTTTAGTTTAAGTTTGAGTTTCAAGAAGGAAATTATAATGAAACTTGTTGAATACATGTATGTACAGTATGGTTTTATACTATTGAACTTTGATTTCATAAAAATGTGTGTGCCATGATATTTCAATGTTATCAATGAATCTTTCAATAATTTCAGTGTTAACCCTTAATGAGCTCCCAGTCCCTTGCTTCAATGATGTGTACAATGAATGTATTCTGACTAATAAGACCGGAAGAACAGAAGCATCTGGTAACATGTATATATATTTTATGCATGACAAAATGCAAAGTATGCATTTTAATGTTAAGTTTGTGTTTCAAGAAGGAAATTATAATGAAATTTGTTGAATATGATCTTGTACCGTTGAACCTTAATTTGAAGAGAAAATAAACGCATGTGCCACTGCTTTTTTCAATAATCTTTCCATTATTGTCAGTGTTAACCTACATGTACATGTACAAGAATTGTTCAATGCCATTGTTTGGAGAAAAAAAAACTTCACTCTCAGCCAATGAGCTTCCATTGTCTCACTTTTTAAATGTTATGTACAGTGACTGTATTCTCACTAAGTTGGAAGAACAGAAGCATCTGGTAGATATATATTATGCATGACAAATTGCAAAGTATGCATAAATGTTAAAGGGATAGTTGAGTTCTGTTGCAGAGGGCGCTACCCAAAATATTTTTTTTTGTGAGATAATGAAAAACCGAGTGTCAAATTTGAAAGAACATACAATTTAAATGACAAAATCATCTTTGTGTGATCAAAATCGGTTCAGAGACGGCTGAAATATCCATAAATATAACCATTTCTAATATTTGTGCACCACCAGAAATATTAACTAATTTGAACCAGCCGTTGAAAAAATGAAATAGCGCCTTAAATACATTTTATTCCATTCAATGCCGATGTTGGGTTTTTGTTGGCTTTTTCGTGTTGGTTTGATTGCGAACAACCAGCCGGCCCATGTATTGTTATTATTAATTAATTAATTAATTAATTAACGATCACCATATTTTTTTAAAAGTAGAGCTGAACTGGTATGATCCGATTGGCTAAATTTCACACATTTTTGGGGTCTAAAATTACCTTCATAGCAATTTTAGGTCCTAAAAGACCAGTAGAAATGGCATTCATAAGAATACATTGTAAGAGCAATTAATAAGAGCAATTAATAAGAGCAATTAATAAGAGCAATAACCATGCACTTTGAAGGCATTTGCAGTCTGAAAAAGACTGAAATGAAGTTCTAGTTTCAAGAAGGAAATTACGGTATAATGAAACTTGTTGAATGTGGTCTTACAACTATTGAAAATGTTTGATAGGAACACTCTCAGACAAGCCTATTGATAGAATCCTAACTTGAAAGATTTGTTGTTGTGGTGTGGTCCATAAATTAACCCCTCTGTCAATTATCACTGATTGTCTTAGGCTGCGTTTAAGCTCAATTTTGAAGGCAGAATGAGCGATATGAAACGCTCATCGTAAACGCTCATCGTAATCGCAGTTCCACGGTGTACTGTTTATGCTCACTTCTCTGGCTCCTACAGGCAATTCTTGCTGGGTGGCCCTAATTGGTCTTGCAGCTGGATTCGCAAACCTGCACTGTGCATGCTACGTAGACCCACTACAGGTCAGTGCGTTGACCCCATTTAAACGCGTTTACAAATTGTAAACGCACCTTTTTGTGAGTTTATGATCGCCGATTTTCGGTGATTCTATAAAAGTGAGAAAGGACGCAACCGTGTTTTAAACTAAACGCGTAACAGATGCCTGATTCTGGCCAGAAAAAGTTGAGCATAAACACGCCCTAAGATAATCAAGGACGACAGCAATGTTCCATTTTACCAGAAAATTAGTTTGCATTACATTTCAAGAAATGTACATTGATTGAAAATTGATGTTTCATAGGATTTGCATTTAGGTGAATGCATGTTTTTTGCCCACTAAACTTGAATGTTCAGATACTTGAGTTTTTTTATTTGAAATCATTATTCTTATTTTAATTGCACTGCAAATATGTTACATGTATGCCTTGTTATTAGCATTTGATATTGTTGATGTTGTACAGATACTACAGAAGTTTTGATAATAAAAACATTTTTTCTTTTTATTATCCAGTCTTCAATGGACTTTTTTTTATCAGTTACAAACAGTAAACATTTGGGGTACAAGCACTAGGGCTAAGATTTAAAAAAACAGTCCAAAGTCACTGTCCAAAGTTGCACAGTTTACACAGACAAAATGGGTCACAAATGACAGGATTTGTCCACTCTTATCTGATGTCAATGATCTTTACACACAGAGATGTGATAACCATATCATTATTTATGCCATTCACAGGCATGTGGCCTTTGCAAATCTCATCATATTTGAATTTGCTTGTTTTATAATTCTTATTTTTCTCTTTCAATTTATTTCAATGTCATTGTGATTGTTCTTTTTATTCAAATGTGAAAAATAAAATGAATAAAACCACAACTTTGGGGTTGATTTCCTTCCTTTGCTCTTTTTTTTTCTTCTTTTCTTTATTACAATTTTATTTTACAGTTCACTTTATGTACATGTACATTGGAGTGCATTTAAGACAGTTTAAAAGACTAAACAATAATACACAAAGACTTAACAATATACATGTACAATATATTTGATCAAGTCATTCTGAAGTCGAACCGCTCAGTTGAAGGATGATTAATTCCCTTGTCCAGAGTTTCAAAACAACGATTCCAAATCTGGAACAGGATGTTATACAGTACATGTATGTACAAATGTAACCCACTACATGTACCTACTGGCACTGTGTGGTTCAAACATGAGAATTCAGTGGTCAATGGGTTAAGAATCGGATAAGTGAGGGCATTGAAAAACTGAGCGTATCCGCAATTTCTGAGAACAAAATGCATCGCATCATCGCATACACTGTAATATCAGAATACCTTCATAATGGTATGGCATTTAGCAGCAAAATGTCACAGCCTTGTAGGGGAAGGAGATATTAACAATGGAATTGATAATAATAACACCAAGGCAAGCACTTAAATAGACAGACATGTACACTGTGCATGTATGTAAATTAATTTGTGAAAAGCATATTACATAAACAATACAGGTAAATTATTGTTACAACTTACAAGTATGATGCTGTGTGCCCAGCAGAAAGGCAGGGAAGCTTTTCATACATCTGTACATGTAAATGGTGTAAAAGGAATCCCCTAGTAATGCCCTTTTGCTCGGCACATGATAGGGACTTTTAGATTTACACGACGAGAACGTGGACCGCCAAGTGTGACATCCTTTTAAGGTAATGTGACGTCCTTTTGAGGCACTGCCGGGCACGGCCCAGTGCCAAAGTCACACGCAGCAGTCCACGCTCTCGTCGTGTAAATCTATAAGTCCCTAATGTCTTCATCTAGATTCTAGCCATAAGTTTTCTTACCTGATGTAATGTTGTCTAATGACATAGCCAATCTGACTGCATCCAGGGGGAAATCCTAATACCTCACTCACGATATCCCATTTATGCTCGTTGGTGACCTGTTTCAAACAAGAAGACAATATTTGTTGTGAAAAAATAAATGCAAGAAGTACAGTTCAATAACTTGTAATGTACAATAGATGATGTAAAGTACATTGTAATAGGGCATTGGTCTTCAATCTAAATCTAATTTCTAAAGTTATTTCCCTTTTTCCTTTTGGAATGGAATGGAATCGATTGGATACGTCACCGGGCTGTGGATCACATGGTCTGTGGTTCAACTTCCACCGGCGGCACTAATGTCCTTCGCCAAGACATGAATCTACATCTCCCACACTCCACCCAGGTGAGATAAATGGTTACCTGGTAAGAACAAATTCCTTGAATGCTTGAGTGCTTTATCATGGAAGCTTGGTTAAAGCCAGGGTAATAGACCAGGAAGAATCATATTTTAGGTAAAGTTTTCATGTCATTAAAAATTCATAACTTTCTTAATATTTATCTGAATTTTGCTCAAACTTTTCTTGATGGGTTTGTCTGATTGTTCTGTTTCTATTAAAAGTAATCATTATTGGAGTGGACTTGCCCTTTAATACTGATGAGTCTACCTTTGGTAAATAAGACACACTGTTATTGTTTTTGGTTTTTTACAGCTCTACTGTATGTACAGTACCCATGAACTTGTTGTCCTTCACAGTAATGTTGTTGTTCGGTCGTTTACAACTGAGCTACAAATTGAATCTAATGTTTCATCACTCTAAACATGAACATATATCCAAACAAACAAAAAATCAACTTTTATTCATCTACAGGTGTATTGTCATTCTCATCTAGCTTTTCGATGAATGGAAACTATCAATAGTTCTTAATAATACAAGTAGAAAGAGTGCTCTTTCATAGAGAGGGTTGTGTGATTGTCTCATGGTACAGTGGTTCAGTCACTTGACTTTCAATCCAAAGGTTAGGGATCAAATCGCTGGTCAGCATCGATTAGCAAGACGTCATTAAATCTACATACATGCTCATTTGCCAATCCTACCCAGGTGTCTATTAATTAATGCCTTTAATACCTACAATGTACGTACATGTACATGAACTACGTTATCTTATCTTTATTATAAGCACTACAACAAGTGCTTTGCATCTGGCCGCTGAGATTCAATCAAGGTAAAGCACTTGTAGTTTGTTCAATAAACTACATACTTTTTAATCCAACTTGTGCAAATGTACGTTGAGGGATTTTGTTAGATCTTCTAACATGAACTGTAAGGCCCCCTCTTCCTCCCCCTTCTCCTTCTTAAATTGCAGAAAATTAAACAGTGGCCAAATAAAACGGCTGATTATTAAAAAAAAATACATTGTTAGTGTACAAGTAGTGTAGTCAATCAAACAAAACGTTCTACATGTACACTGTATGTTGTTCTTGCCTTTTTGATGAGCTACAAATGTTTTCCTGGTCATGTATTACCTTTATCTACTTCGTTCATACTTTTATCATGGCCAACATGATGCCGGGTTAGTGGTTACTTTCTCGTTTATTTTTAAAATAACTGCTAAAAACACTAGAAAATAACTTTTCAATGTAAAATTTAAAATCCCATTGTGTCATTCTCATAGTACTTCCCATTCAATTTTAAAATAGACATAAAGTATGGTATGCACATGTTAATTGAAGTCTAGTGCAGATGCTTTTCTTGTTATATTTGTTGTTGTTTTGTTGAACTGTTTTAAAAGGTCAATGTTGAAAACCTGAACATGCGTAGTTTTTGGGACTTGGTGTTTGTGAATAAAGTGATCAATTATTTACTTTTACTTTCCTTTCTTTCTTTTTTTGGATGGACATCACTATACAGTGTATATTATTTAAAAGTACAGTACACGAACATGTACATGTGTATTATTTGCTGGCTTTCAATTTTTCATTTCGCTGCAAATCTATTGACGGTTGGCAGTCGACTAATATCTCAAAAACTTCAAAATTCTTCCAACATAGCTCAGAATTGCTGGTTGGAACAATCAGACTACCGGTACTTCAAAAGGAATGAAGTAAACAGTAAACTTCAACAGGACGCATACCAAATTCAAGTTTGATGATGATGACAATGGTGGTGGTGGTGATGACGATGAAGATGATGATGAAAACACTGATATAGATCTACGCAATTATCAAGTTAAGCTGAAATTGTGTGAGCAGGATGGATCATCAGTATCATCATGCTAACATTGTAACAATTGACATAAACATTACAAATTGAAATTAGCAGTGAACCCAATCCAAATTCACAATTTTAATGGTCACAGACATTATTATTGCATAATATTACAAATTTACATCTTAACTAAAGTCTAGACTAAGCACCTACATTCTTTTTAAAGCCAAGCTGAAAACTTGATTGAAAACACCGATTTTATTCTCTTCCAACTTGATTCTAACATGTCCAACTTTTCACAAACTTCTCTCTCAGACTCAGACAGTTTCAACATGCATTCCAACACCAACAAGTTGCACACACAACGGCACGCAGTCTCTCCTCCGCGATAAAGGCTAGTTAAAGCATTTGTCATTTTTTTCCTTTTTCTTACCTTCACGACTCCCCCGAGCGCAACAACTTTCGAATATAGCAGGTACAAATCCAAGTCTCTGCCCGACACTTTGGGCATCCGGAACATAGCCGGCTGTACACTGCGGAACAAAAGAAAAGAGAAACACACGTGAGATTTATCGGTAGAAAACAATGCCCACGACCAGAATTCTGGCCAGAATGAATGAAAGTATGTGAGCGAGTGAACGAAACATGAACCACACACAACTCACCCTTTTGTCGCATGATACTGTCGAAGTGCATGGAGAAATTCCCTTTTCTCCCGTTCGTAGCTGAACGGATCTTTGTCCAAAAACTTGGCCATGATTATCCTCCAGCTCTTCCCGTGCACCTTTCGCGAGTTTTTCTAGTGTTAGGTCATCTGTTAATGAATATCCTCAGGCTCCAAGTGGCGCATCAATTTAAATTTCGGCAGAGAGCTCCGCAAAAACTACAACTGAGCTGATTTTGCAGAGCACCCGTTTGTTCTCATGCGATTCCAACGGAGCTTACACAGCTTGAAATACGGTCAGTTTTACACATTCATGTGGCGAAAATGACTGATTATGAGTGTTTGAAACACGGACCGGTATACGCGCTGATTAATAATACGCCGACTTCCAAAATCGAACGAAGGTTTTCGATGAAACGAATCTACTCAAAGTTCAACACCGTCGGTAGAGTCGTCCACGAAATCTCGAACGCTAACAAAAAGGTCCGAAATATAGCGAGCTCGATGAATGTACAATTCATGTAGTGACGCTCAATTCGTGCTATAGGGGTTACGTCTATTGAACAATTGTCCATACCCCTATCCAAGATGGCGTCTTCCATAAGCTGCAAGACTGGTAATCCTTTCTCGTATAGTTTGCCGCGTAGACCGACACACAGAATAAATACATTGCAGTGCTATCAATCTATCACGAGGCGAAGTCGCTCATGCAAATTTGTACACGTAAAAGGTTGAATTTGCATTTGCCATAAAAGGAAAGCATATCACACGATTTTTGTTTTCTATAAATCAACTAATTTCAAGGTGACAGTAATTTTATTGGGCAAGCTTGATGCATTTCACCGTCTAAATATGTCATTTATCGATGATTAAGCTCCTGCTGATAGGGAGAAGCATAGCTTGCGGAAAGTTATCGACAAAGACATGCATACAAAGGATTGGTCTATGAGTGACTATGCATTATTGTCTCGAAGCATAATGACATATTTTCCCTTCTTTTTTCATCAGCTCTTTCATTCGCCAAACACGTTGCATGTGCCAATTTATCTTCACATTTTAGGACAGTTCTATTACGGAGTAATCTTTCTTTGTTACAACTAAATCATTATTTTAATAGCTCATCAATGTTTCAGCCGGGAACGTTTGAGTTTTGTTTCTAGTTTTAAATCTTAAACAAATCACAGAAGAGTTAAAATGACACGACCAGTAAGAAGTGCCCTGTATTTGTTTTTGATCGTTTCAATGCAAAATAATTTCAAAGACTTATTTTTTCAGTCAAACTTTCGTCCACAGTTGTTCGAGATTCCAACAACTTGTTACCATGGCAACTTAAATCAAGAGTGATAGTGACACAATGTAATAAAGGGAATGGGCTTATATCCCATTTAATTAATAAGGGGGATCATTACATAATGAACTACTGTATGCGAATTTGCCACTACTCTGCACCGTGCTGTAAGACGCGAACAGCGCAAGTTGCAGATGATGCGACGAGTAGTATAAAGAGACTAATGAAGAAAATAACAACACGGTGCGAACCCGACACACACACTCACTCCCACACGTGTTCCACATTGTGCGTGAGGGTGAGCGGAGTGTGTGGGTGTTAGGGGCTTCCCCCAAAATCCTTCTTCCAACAACACGGTGACATCACAACGGCGTTTGAAATCTTCGCGCACTGGACCGAGATTCCCCCAACAAGAATTATAACCGCGGAGTAGAGTGCATAACAGAGGAGAGAGAGAAAGAGCAATGCACATTACATGTGCTACGTGGGATGCAGGCATATAGCGGTTCGCTATGTTTTTCGAAGATAGTCGAGGGTTCGTTTTATATCAGTGCATGCCCAATGCACATAGGATAGCACACAATGCATTTTGCAAGCACTATTGTATATAATGCACGCATAGGCAACCAATACACCTCTTAACTTCCATTTATATTTCGTTAAATTCATATCGACATCTCCAAAATAGGCCTGTTTGCATTTTTCCTATATGTAGCAAGGGCGGGTCCATAATAATTATGAGCAGTGGCGTAATGAGCAACAAAAACGTTCTTTGAGGGGGGGGGGGGAGCAGAAAGAAAAAAAAACAACAGAAGATCATGTCAATTCAGCAACATTTGTCAATCACTGGTATCGAAATATAAATAAGCCATATTTGAATTTTATTGGAGGGGCACACCCCCCCCCCAATCAGTACGCCGATAAGTGTGAGAAAAGCAGAGGAGGGGTGCACACTGCCGAATATTATATATCACTATCTAGGGTAGGCTTATATTTATTGGTGTACTGAAGTAAAGAAATTCCGTATTGGGTTTAAACTTCAGAATGGACACAGTAGTTTGTGCCCCCCCCCCCCCCCCCCCCCCCCGCGCCATGATTAACATTGCGTGCAATGATCTCGGTTGATTTTCTTGAAATTCATCAATTGAATAAAACAGGGACTATCATTGATTCACTAATATCAGTGTAAAAAATAAAGAAATAATCAGCAATATACAGCTACTGAAATTGGAGACAAGCAAAGTTTAATTTGAAGAAGACAAAAACAAACGTAACAAATCAAACAGCTTCTGAACAATGTAGAGTTATGAAATCATTCCAGGGGAAGACTATCAGAACACTTACACTTTTATTGTCGAATGGAGCATAGGTTCTTGAAATATGCGTGAAGCCAGGGAAAATTAAAAGAAAACCACCAAAATATAGAATAGTTTAGTCTTTCGCAACGATTGCTACAGCCATTAAATCATTTAATGGAAAGAATGTAAGAAAACTTTAAAAAATGTATTCAAGACTGCAAAAGTAATTTAAGGTTTTAATGGTCTCACGACTCCATCTTTTATTTCCTCTTACTTGCCATGGTGAAATCATCTCATTTGCTTTTTCAATGCTGTCAGGATTTTAATGAGCTTTTGTAACCATCATTTTTTTTTAAAATATCTTTCGTTTCATTTAAAGCCCATCTGCACTAGTTTGGCCAGGAGGGAGTAGACCTCTCTGCATGGTCAATGACAGGTGATTATCTCATCAAATCAGCTCTCAATTATCATAAGAAAAAGGGGACCATGGGGACCAATGGTCACCGATTTTGCAATGTTTGCTATATAGAGGGCGCAAGTAGCTATAAGTAGTGCAATGGAGCTTCAACATTATTGATTTTCAACATGACTTGTATTAAGGCTTTCAAATTTTGAATTTGTTTATCTACATGTTCGTACATTTTGAAATAGATAAAACAGACCACATGTGTTATGTTCTTGTTGTCAGCATCACTTTATCAATCAAACTTGTAAAAAAAAAAAATTATTTCTGCTTTTTTCCAAACCAAGATAATGATTATCTGGGTGGACTTCAAATTACTTACATAATGCAAGGCATTAAAGACAAGTTGAACAAAATACAGCATGACGATCATACTGTTGGGAAGAAAAAAAGGATCCATAATTATGGACACGCTTTTAAGAACTGATTTCCATTTGCGATAATTTTGTTATCCAGTATGCGGGTGTTAATTGCAATCACGTTTATATTCATTCACCGTTAAAGGTAATGCAAAGTTTGGGGAAATTTTGAAAATTGGGTGGATAGTGATTCTTTACAATTTTGATATATTTGGATGCCCCTGTGGATGCATCATAAACCCAATAAAATTTTGCCCCTAAAACACTTCTGCTTTCGAGAAAAGTTGAATATAACAATGTACCGGTACTGCCGGTAAATTTTAATTTATTCCAAATGGCGCCTGCAGCCGTGCAATGGTAGCTGCGACCATGAAAATTTCAGAATATGTAGTTGTGATATATATAATTTCCAAATGGGAGTAGCTAATTGGTCGATTTTAGTCAAGAAACATTGTTTTATAGCTTAATTAATATCTTGACCTTGACCCTATAAAACATAAAGAGTATATATTATTTACAATTTCATAACTTTCGACTCGATTTCAACCGCGACAACGATCACTGAATATTGTAGGATCGTATATGCTTACAATATGTTCATTTGAACCAAATTCATGACCCCATACCAAAACGTACCTTTAAACAGGACATATGTAACAGAAATTTACAGGATGTGTAACAAACGATGTTGGAGGTTATGGTATCATTTTTTTTTTACAATTTACGTCCTATTTATATTATGATAGAGCGGATAACTGAAATGTGTACATGAAAGAGATAGGAATTAATATTGCGTATTTTTATTTCATTACGGTCATTACATGAGTTGTATTAAAGGCATCGTTTAACAATGTAAAATCTGAGATGCATACCCCCCCCCCCCTACGTGTTATCAGTGTTTGTGATATGGAAGCCCTAAAACATTGTGCTTAAACATGATCATAAAGTGCCTCAAGAAGTAAACAATCTCTGAGTGACCGGTTTTACCATAATCATTTCCCCAATAGATTGTAGTGTTATAAAAACCGTTAGGAAAACGAGTATGAAATTTCGATTTCCCATCATAAATATCTTGACAATCGGAGAGGCAATCGGCTCGTACAAATCATGGGATTCCTGACTGACCTAAAGGTTTATAATTATGATTGCAGCATGAGTTCAATCCAGGCTTTTGTTTCAGAATCTGAGGCAATGTTACCGAGTAACTCTGTAAATCTCGAATTAAGGCAACCACGCTATCATAATGTGCAATAGAAATTACTGACACTAGCCAGCGATTGCAGTCTAGATAAACTATTACTAAGAAAATATAAACTTTGAACTTATGCTCCGTAGCTATCTACCATGATGGCATATCCTGGGCTCATCAGTGACAAATGACAGTTTTTGTTATAAGCTACTAAAATTCTTGCTTCTGATTGGTTATCAGCAGATTTGTCACTGATTTTTGTCATTTGTCATTGAAAAAAGGCTTTGTGAAACGGGTCCCAGATGTAGGGGAAGATGGGGATGGAATCCCATACATGAGGGGCCCGGGGGGGGGGGGGTGTCTGTGTCTGACCTATTGCAAACCGTATTTATTGTTTTTATTCATAGCCTTCCAACGTAGGGCGGGGGGGGGGGGGGGGTGTACTGGTTTCATCTTTATATCGGATACGCCACTACCCCACCCTCGCCCCATGATTAACGATTTTCAAACATACTCCGCCATTTTTGCGCTTAGAGAGTGCCAGACCAACTGTTTTCTTATGACACTATAAATATAAATTACGTAATTTTTTCAATCATTCGTGCCATTTTTATGAACAGAGTGTAATTGAACATGGTATATCACGTAGCACATGAATCGTGCCTCATCTATTCATGTGGGGGGGGGGGGGTCGAGATAGGAAGAAATAGAGAATGAAAGAACGAAAGAAAAAAGAAATGAAGCAATGGGTTTTAAAGAAGAAAAAAAGAAAGAACGAACGTAAGATCCTGTGTAAATCATGTCCAAATTAATAATTTCAAACGCCAATTCTACTAGTAGTGAAACGAAATACGAAATAATGGATAGTGGATAGAGTATACTGTTCGATGCGACGTACATTAGCACTACAGTCAGAACATTA